TGGAATGAAATAAAGACCTGATCAGATGAGACTTTTGGGTGTAGCCTATGATACTTTTAATCTCACTAGAGGGGAGATTTCAATACTACTAAGAATGAAATCACCAGGAGGAGAGTGCATCCTCTTGAACTTGGATCTCTGCACTAGGAAGCTCCTTGACACTGGGGAAGTTCAGGACAAGTGGAGATCGAGCAAAGAAAATCTAGCCTACAGATGCTGAATCAAGGCTCTTTGCCCAGAAAAAAAAGAGGGCCTTTCCTTCAAGCTGGCACCATGAACTTGGACTTGTAGTCTCATAAATTCAAATACATTTCTGTTACAGACATAAACTTATGTTGTATCTGTTATGGGAGTACTAGATACTAACAGAATGTATAGTAAAGAGAAACCTAACCACATCAGAATATTTATGGTGGTTTTCTTCAACTAGTGGGAGAGTACAGGAGTTCACCAATTTTATGTTTCCTAAATCTTCTACAATATATCTCTATAATTTTCTACAATAAATAATATTTTCATAATGTAGTTTGGTTTTTAAAACAGCTATTTTAAGATAAAGAATAAGTTGTGTCTATAATGATATGATCTATTTATAAAACTGCACAGTTGTGTGCTAAATAAACAGCATATGAATTTTTTATTTTTCCAGACTCAGACAGAATTAATTCTTTCTTAAATTTTATTAGCATAAAGCATAGAAGAGCCTTTGATCCATTAAAAAAATGCTCTGTGCTGTTTTTAATAATATTGTTTTTATTGTTTTTCATATTAAAGATCTAAATTTACCTGATTTAGTTCAATTAATATTAATTGTGACTCAGGTGACAGTTTACACAGCAAATGAAGTTTATCTTTAATAATTTTTATGTAAGTCGTTCCATGTCATTGGTTGTCCTTTTTTACAGTATGTCAGTATTACCATTATTTCTAGTCTATTTTGTTTCCACTTAACTGGCTTCCTTTCCCCTCCTTGCCTTCTCACCTGCTTTGTTGTTGTTGGCTTTTTTTGGTTAATAACTATTTGGTCTCATACAGTTCACTGTATGAGAAAATACATTATTCATGGGTGTAAAAGGAACATGTACCATGTAGAAACAACAGAGTCCAACATCTATTCACTCCTTAAGGAGGAACAGTCCCCATCAACAACATCCACAGTATAAAATTGATTCCTAGAAAGTCAGACATGGTCCCCCAAACACATGCACCTATTCTTACTAATCACTAAGTCCAATGTTTATTGCAAAAGTTGTGAGATTTATTAGGAAAACAGGTTGTGAGGGGCAGGAAAAGGCAAAGGATATTACACAGTGAAAATCCATGTTTAGTCCACTAACACAAATAAAAGAAGCTTCTGGCTTCCTCAATCATCCAAGAAGTCGGCTATTTCATCAATCATTTTCTAGTAAGCAAAACCTTTAACTCTGGCTCTGTCTCCAGGGCTCCATTAGACTGTGGCTCCCTACAGTCTGGTTATGTTGGTCTCGAAGCTGTTGATGATGTTGAAGATGCTGAAAAACAGCTAACTATGTGTCTGCAATTGAAGCAGCTGGAGACCAGTCTCTGGGGTGGGGGTGGGGAGAGATGGTATTGCTAAGGCAATGGATAAGCCATGTTCAAAGTCTTATACCACAATGGTGACACTATTAATTTATAAAGAGCTCTGGTGGCCTAAGGGAGCTCTGGTAACCTACTGATAAAAAGCTGCACTGCAATCCCAAAAACATACAGTTCAAATTCACCAGCTGCTCCACCAGAGGACAATGGGGAATCTCCTCCAGGGTATTTTACAGACTTGGAAAACCTGCTGGGGGGTCAACTATGCGTTTCTGACTTGAAGATAATTAGAGTGATAGTGACTATAGATTTTATAAGTCAATCTACTATGTGGTTGAAGGCTGACTGCAAAACCAGCTTCAATTCCAAATTAAAATATTACTGTAAGGCAATAGTCTCAGAGGTTCCTCTAGTCCCATTTTTTAAGGTCTGGCCTTTTTAAGGAATTCAAATTGTGGCCTATGTTCTTGTGATTTTGTTCTTAGCAAATTTCTGAACTATTAAAATGAATGCAGATAAAAATCAGTGAAGAAATAATTTTTTAAAAATAGCTACAAAACAAATTGCTCACTATCCATCAAGAAGTTACTTGAATCATGCAATGAGTAGTAAAACTACTAAAATTTCAGTCATGAGTGAATGGAAAACTTACTTTGCTTATGATTAATAGTATTGTAATTATTTAAAAGTCCTTTGGGATAAGACATGTCTTTCATGCTTTAAGCTAGTAATATAACTACAAGCAAAATAAGCATATTAATTGATTCTCTATGTCCTATTTTCCTTGATCCCTATCCTTATTAATTTTCATATACTGTATGACTTATTGTCAAGTACTCAAAGGCCAAGACTCTCGAATGTCTGCCCTATTTTTACCTTGATCACTGCTTATCAGCCCTCAATTGCTTTCAGATTGGATTTTTCTCATAAGATCTTACAACTGTTTTACATATGGATTGTCTACTCGATCCTTCAACAGCCAATTTCCAACCATTGGTACCCCAATAACAAAGGAAGATTTGTATATACACATACCCATACCCACAGAATATGATGTTGCTGTTATGTGCCCTCAAGTATGACTCATAGTGACCTTATTAACACTGGCTCTGAACCCTTTTCTATCCTATGCTGTCCTTATCTCTGACATACTTTGGCCCACTGCTACAGTCACTGTGTCAATCCATCTTGTTGAGTGTCTTCCTCTCCTTCACTGAAAATGTGCCATTTTAGAAAAAAACATGGGGCTAGCAGCTCAGAATATATTTCACTTAGAGTCTTGGAGCTTAAATTATCCTATACATTATTTTTTCCAGAAATGAACATTACACTTATAGTGCACCTAATTAGATTCTATACTGACCAGTCATATGTAGGCCATAACTGGGTCATAATTCTTTAGAGTCAGTTATTTAACAATAAACATAAACACAACATAAAGTGCATCCATAACTGGAGTATGATTTTGAATCTAGAATTACAAATGAAATTCTGCAGTGTTAAAAATAAACTCACTCGCAAACTCCCATTTTTACTTCCTTTCCTTTCTATCTGCATTTGGCATACTTCCTTCTATTGTTGTTTTCAAGAAAATATATGGTTTTCTTAAAAAAAAAATTCACAGTGTGACAAAAATAATTACCCACCCAGACTAAGATGTAATGCCGCCAATAAAGTACTGACTAGACAATTTAACAGTGTCTGTAAGAAGCTGTAAGAAGTGGAGGAAGCTGTGTTGGACCCAAAGACAGTACCTCTCTGGTGGTTTGAAGCCATCACTGGCTCCATGGGAGAAAGATGGGCAATCTCATCCCAAAATCCTGCTGTAAAACATATGGGAAGAAATAGCTTTGAGCTGGTTTTGACTAGGAGGGGTAGCAATGAGTTTGAAGGCTGATCTTTTCCCTTTGCCATGAGTATGGAAGAAATCCACCACATACCTAGAGTCAGTTCTAACTCATGACAGCCCTTTACTGGGTTTCCAGCTCATCCGTACTAAAGACACTTAAAATATCCTTGAGACAGCCCTCATAATTTTTGCTTACTAGTGAGATGGAACATTATTCCAAGTTTATTATCTCCTCCTGTGAAAGTTTGTTCATATCTTTACTCATGCATCTCTTGGAAGCTTTTCTTATCAATTTAGACAAGCTCTTAATGTAATGTTGACATTACCCCTCTCATCATCCAGTCTGCAAATATTTCAACAAGTTTGTTTCCTTTCTTTTTCTTTCACTCTCTCTCTCTCTCTCTCTGTGTGTGTGTGTATCAGATTCTTTATCCTTCAGTTCTTTTTTTAATTTTTTTTCATGCTTCAGTTCTTAACTACAAGTTTGTATATTTAGTACATTAGCTAATACATAAAACATTTCTCAGTCCCCTCACCCCAAATAAGAATTAGTTAAGTGATATCATGCTGCTAAAGCAAACAAAGATATCTCGGAAGAAGAGAAGCCAGAGTGCTCCTTGGAGGCAAGGGTGGTGAGACTTCCTCTCACATACTTTGAGAATGTCCCCTGGAGAAAGACATCCACTTAGAAAAGTAGGTCACCAAAACCCTCAATGAGATGGATTCACACAGAGGGCAAGACTATTAATGTGGTGTAGGACTGGCAAGCTTTCAATCTGTTGTTCACAGAGTCCCTGTGAATTGGAATTGGCTTGATGGCAATTTTCAGAAAACTGAACAAACACCAATCCTAGTTTGTCACTCCAAAACAAAGTCACTATTCAAAACTGTTCAAAACTAATAGTCTAAATCATGAAATAAAAATATGGCCTGGAGAGGCAAAGAAATACCAAATACAAGGCAGAATACTAAAATAAATAAATAAAAAGTAAAAATTATGAAACTGAATAAAAATTATTAAAACTCAAATGATAGCCTCTCAGTTCACTCTCTTCTTTAGAGTCACTTCCAACTCATAGCAACCATCCATTGGATCTCTGAGATTATAAATCTTAAAGGCATCAGACTGTCCACGCTTCTCCCTCAGCATGCCTTGAGAATCTAAACCACCAGAAATGCAAAATCTTTCGGTGGCAGTGCAAGGCCCTACAGACTAGGTCAACTAAAGTCATAAAAAAAAATTAATACAATAAATAAAAATTATAGGAATTCTTTTTGTCTTTCCCTTTAATTGACTATGAGAAGTATACAAAGAATTTACTATCAGTATAAACAAAAAAAATATTAATACTATGTATAATAGAAGAAATTATTCCCACACATATATAAAATTTCATTTTTCAAAATATTAATTTTAGAGATCAAATTAAGAACAAGAATATAAAAAAAATGGCATAGAAGTAAAACTAAAACTAAAGGGAGAAAGCTAAGCATCCCATTAAAACTATCAATATATTAGTGTAATAATTAAAATGTATATCCTACTTTAAGAAAATGTGGTATTTAAAAATACGTATATATGTAATAAAATATTAATAGTTGTTTATATTGCAAAATGATACTTGATCTTTAAAGGGATTCACAGATCTTCTAAACCATTAATTTCCTTAATCGACCTAACAAGATCTTTATTTTTTTTTTTTGACCTAACAAGATCTTCAAAGATTTTAATATCTCTTTGAGACAGTGATCCAAGCTTCTTCCTTTGATGATGTTACCAGTTCATACTTTGTTTCAATAACTTGTCCCACCACAGAATGCAGGCTCAGTCTCCTTAACAATACAGACAGAAGTACTGTGGTCACCATATATGCAAACCTAGTCAGAAAGAAAATAAAATAGTTAGCAAAGATATTCTGCCAGTAACAGAAAAAAAAACCCTTTAATTTTATATGTGTGTGTGTGTGTGTGTATACACACACACATATATAAAATAGGTAATATATACAGTTATATAAATTCTATATATTAAAAATGTTGTTGTTGTTATGTGCCGTCGAGTCGTTTGCGACTCATAGCGACCCTATGCACAACAGCCCTAAACCCTGCTCTATCCTGCGCCAACTGCACTGCCTCTGACACACCCATCCCGATTACCCCAGTCACCGAATCAATCCATCTCATAGAGTGTCTTCCCCTCCTGTGCTGTCCCTCCACCCTCCCAAGCATGATGTCCCTCTCCAAGGACCCGTCCCTCCTGGCAACATGTCCAAAGTATGTCAGACGAAGCCCCAGAATCCTTGCCTCCAAGGAGTAGCTTGGTTTAACCCTCTCCAAGATGAATCTGTTTGTTTTCCTGGCAGTCCATGGTACATTCAGTACTCTTCTCCAGCACCACCACTCAAAAGCGTCCACTCACCTTCTGTCCTCCCTAGTCACTGTCCAATTCTCTGATGCATAACAAGCGATTGCAAATACCGTGGCCTGTATCAGGCGCACCTTAGTCTCCAGAGAGACACCGTTGCTCCTGAGTACTTTAGAGAGGTCCCTAACAGCAGACTTTCCCATCGCGATATGCTTTTTGATTTCCTGACTGCTGGTGTTATGATATTCTTATATAAATATATATAAAATTCTCATCAACGGTGACTGTCAAAACTAGGAAAGACATAGTCGGGCATATCATCTCACCTTAATTCTGGGCATTCCTGTGTGCCTGAAAATCCAAGCAAGGAGAACGTTTTCATTATTGATTCATCATCAAACCGGTCTGGATCAAACCTAAAAACAAGGTTTGAACTTAATTACTACATATCTTCACTGACATTTAACATATTAACACAGTATAGGATAAAGTTTAAAGCTACTGAAAAGAAGTTATCACAGTATATTAAAATGTAACTATATTTCTCCATATTTATTATTCCAAACATTAAAATGTAAAACAGCTCTGGATGTGTACTCTGTAGAGTTGTATTGCTAAGCCAAAGGCACTTCCACTCTGACAGTGGATCGCAGCTCTAAGCGAGAAAGCTAAGCAATTTCCTCCCAGTAGATTTATAGCCTTGGAAACTTGCTGGAGGCTCAGCTGTGAGTCCGTTCTCTGAAAACAGCAATGAAAGAGACTGAAACACAGGTCAATGTCACTGTTCTGATAAAAAACCCAAATAATGTAAAATCACCTGATGCAATATTTTTTATTTCAGTATTTAAAATATCTAATCCTCATATCTTTTCAATCTATATGTAGAACAGATTATCCAGGAGGTTGGGCTTTATGAGAAGTGTGGCATCAAGATTGGAGGTAGACTCAACAATCTGCATTATGCAGATGACACAACCCTGCTTACTGAAACTGAGGAGGACCTGAAGCACTTGCTGCAGGAAGTCAAGAACTGCAGTCTTCAATGTGGATTGAAGCTCAACATCAAGGAAACAAAGATTCTCACCACTGGGCCGATTGGCAGCATCACGATGGATGATGAAGAGACTGAGACTGTTGACAGCTTCAGTTTGCTTGGCTGTACAGTCAACACTTTTGGTACCAGCAGCCAGGAAATTAAGACATTGGGAAAGTCTGCTGTCAGAGACCTCTCCAAAGTACTGAAGAGCAATGATGTCAATCTGGAGACTAAAGTGTGCCTGATCCAGGCTGTGGTCTCTGCAACTACTTGCGATGCATCAGATAGCTGGGTACTGACTAGCGATGATAGAAGGAGTTGATGCCTTTGCACTTTGGTGCTACAGAAGAGTATTGAATATACCATGGACTGCTAGGAGAACAAACAAGTTCCTCCTGGAGAGGGTAAAGCCAGGTTTCTCCTTGGAGGCAAGGATTCTGAAGCTCTGTTTAACATAATTTGGACATGTTGCAAGGCAGGATCTGTCCTTGGAGAAGGATGTCATGCTTGGGAGGGTAGAGGGACAGTGCAGGAGAGGAAGACCCTCGATGAGATGGATTGATTCAGTCACAGGGGTAATAGGGATAGACTAGCAAGGGATAGAGCAGGGTTTAGGGTCACTGTACACAGGGTTGCTATGAGTCACAGGTGACTTGACAGCACAAAACAACAACAATCAGTATATAAGATATTTTACATAAATTTTATTGTTGTTGTGATGTGCTTTCTAGTTGCCAATGACTCAAGATTGAGTCATTTCTCATAAAGCCCAACTTCCCGGATAATCTGTTCTGCATATAAACTGAAAAGGTATGGAGATAGGACACATCTCTGGCGTACACCCTTCCCAATTTTGAACTATGCAGTGTTTCTTGCTCTGTTCTGATGACTGCCTCCTGGTACAAGTATAGGTTTTGAATAAGTAGAATCAAGTGTTCTGGGATTCCCATTTAGTGACATTTTCCTTCTTTAAACTGGAGGCTCCCAGTCATATTTATTAAGTACAAATCATTCAAATTTATTTGGCTTAGTGTGTAAGTGAGTGGGGAGGCCCTTCTCATGGCGTAGTGGTAAGATGCTGCACTTCAAAGCCATGTGGTTCCAATTCACCAGCTTTTCTGTGGGAGAAAGATGGAGAGTCTCCTTCTGTGTGATTTACTGCCTCTGAAAACCCACTGGAGGGTCTGCGATGAGTCAGTTCCGACTTGATGGCATACAACCAGATGTGGGTAAGGGGTTATGTTACCAAGGCAGCTGTTGCGAGGGAGAAAGAAGGGCAGTCTCCTCCATAGTGATTTACAGCCTCTAAAAACTTTCTGAAGGGTCAGCTATGAGTCATTCCAACTTGACAGCACTTAACAACAATAAAAACAAATTTATTTATTTATTAAAACCTTTTTAAAAATAAGGAGAATAGAAAAGTTTTAAAAAATTCTAGGTCATGGTGAGCTCTGGTGGCCTAGTGGCAAGAAGCTACACTGCAATCCCAGAGGTATGCAGTTTTAATTCACCAGATGCTCTGCTGAGGAAGAACAATCTCCTCATATACTAGTCAGATCCAATTTGACAGTACACGTACACACACACACACAAAAAAAAACAAATAAAATAAAATTTAAAAAATTCTAGGTCATATCATTCTATTTAAAGTCAAAAGGGAGATAAATACAATAAAAACAAACATACTTCCTCCTCATTAAGTATAAAAATTATTTTCAAACGCAAATGTTTTAAAAATATTTCAACAAACAGACACTGCCCTGGATGTGCTAAGTTGTGCCAAGAAATCTGGAGAACAGCCAGCTGGCCCACTGACTGGAAAAGATCGATATTTGTTGCCATTCCAAAGAAAGGTGACCCAACAGAGTGCGGAAATTATCGAACAATATCATTAATATGACATGCAAGCAAGATTCTGCTGAAAATGATCCAAAAAACATTTGGAACAATATGTCAACAGAGAACTGCCAGATGTGCAGACTAGATTTAGAAGAGGTCGTGGTACTAGGGATATTATAGCTAATGTTAGAGGGATCTTGGCAGAAAGCAAAGAATACCAGAAAAATGCCTATCTGTGCTTCATTGACTATGCAAAGGCTTTTGACTATATGGATCACAACAAGCTGTGGCTGACTCGGAGAAGAATAGGAATCCCAGAACATTTGATTGTGCTTATGCAAAACCTATCCTGGACCAAGAGGCAGTTGTCAGAACAGAGCAAGGAGACACTACATGGTTCAAAATCAAGAAGGGGGGTTGGCAGGGATGTATTCTGTTTCCATACCTTTTCAATCTCTATGGAGAACAGATCATCTGAGACGCTGGGCTATACGAAGAGGAATGTGGCATCAGGATTGTTGGAAGAGTCATCAAAAACCCAGATGATACAATCCTGCTTGCTGAAACTGAGGAGGACCTGAAGCTCTTGCTGCAGAAGGTTAAGGACTGCAGCTTCCTATATGGATTGAAGCTCAGCATCAAGAAAACAAAGATTATCACCACTGCGCCAATTGGCAGTATCAGTATGGATGGTGAAGAGATTGAGAGAGTTAACAGTTTTCATTTACTTGGCTCCACAATCAACACTCTTGGTAACAGCAGCCATGAAATCAAGAGGCAAATTGCATTGGGAAAGTCACCTGTGAGGGACCTCTCAAGAGTACTGAAGAGCAACGACATCAGGCCAGGGACTAAGGTGCGCCTGATCTGGGCTATAGTCTTTGCAATTATGTGCTATGCATCAGAGAGTTGGATAGTGAATAGGGATGATAGAAAGAGAATTGATGCCTTTGAGCTGTGGTGCTGGAGAAGAGTACTGAATATACCATGGACTGCTAGGAGAACAAACAGGTTTGTCCTGGAGAAAGTGAAGCCAGAATGGTCCTCGGAGTCAAGGATTGTGAAGCTTTGTCTGACATACTCTGGGCATGTTGCAAGGAGGGACTGGTCCTTGGAGAGGGACATCATGTTTAGCAGAGTGGAAGGGCGGCGAAGGAGAGGAAGACCTTTGATGAGATGGATCGATTCTGTGACTGGAGTGGTGGGGAAAAGTGCGTTTGAGATGGCTAGGTTGTTACAGGATAGAACGGTGTTTAAAGCTCTTATACATCCTCGGCCCCCTGCCCGGGGCGAGCCATCGCGGCCCTCTGCCCGGGGCAGGCTGCCCTTGGCCCTCTGCCTGGGGCGAGCCATCACGGCCCTCTGCCCGGGGCGAGCCGTCGTGGCCTTCTGCCCGGGGCGGGCTGCGCTTGGCCCCCGGCTCGGGGAGAACCGTCACGGCCCTCAGGGTGAGCTCCTCAGTCCCCAGATTGTGCCATCTGACCCCGGGGTAGGGAAGGAGAAGAAAAAAAAAAAAGAATGCCTAGGATATCCAGAGAATGTTACCTAGGCCACCTTCTGCCACCCCACCCCCCCAGTAAACCTGAAAGCAACACCCTCAAAGCCCTTCTATTTGTAACTC